TGTCACGCCTCCTCGTTCGGGCTCAACTCCCGTCGTTTCGTTCCAAAATCAAGTCGAAGGCGACGAACATGCCACTTTGATAGGACACGGTGAAAAAATCGGACACAAACGATGTTCGTACTCATCGACGCCAGCACTGTTGACTACGAAACTAACGTACATCGCTGCCGGGTCATACAGAGCACCTGTAAACGAAGTACGCTGTACGACACTCACCCAGGCGAAGCATGATGAGGGTGTTTCGTGCGTACTTCACGCCGATGAGGAGGTCTGCAATCCGTGACCATCATGCATCACAGTCATCAGGATGCTATGGTCCATCCAAGACAATTTGTCCAATGACGGTTTGTGCGATAACTTTCGAAAAAAATCGAATGGAAACTTGAAACAACTTTGGCCGTGACGGCGGCGTCGAGTTGCGTCGATATCCGGTGAGTTTTTTTAATTCGGGTGTTTTGCGACATTTTCGGTCCAAAATGATCCACGGTGCCCCCTAACCCCCCATACCCTCATCATATCATGTCACGGAACCCCCTATACCCCCCTCGCCCCCTACAATACTTTAACCTATACATCTGAATGTGCAANCTCCGCCGACCCATGACGAATTTGGGTGCTGAGCACCGTTGCAGAGCGTACGGGGGTGGGTTGCGCCTTGCGCACAAGCTGGGTGGGGGCTCGCGTAGCCACGGGGGGAAACTCCTCCCCGCTTGCTGGGCGGCCAAACAAAAATACAAATATCTCGCGAACGGGAGTTTTTTTCGACAATCGAAAAAAAAACCCACCTGGGGATTTTCGAGAGGAATCGATTGCCGCGGTCTATTTTAAAATCGTACGGTTGAATATCGCAGGAAAAACCAAGCCGAATGGGACCCCAGATCTAGTTTTTCGTCCATAACTTTTTTTTTTCCCCTCAAATCGAAATCAGAGAAAAAAAACACCTGGAGATTTTCGAGAGCTATCGAAATCCGGTCTCAGAATTGTGCTCTGAGAAAAACACACCCCAGGAAAAACCAAGCCGAATGGGACCCCAGATCTAGTTTTTCGTCCATAACTTTTTTTTTTCCCCTCAAATCGAAATCAGAGAAAAAAAACACCTGGAGATTTTCGAGAGCTATCGAAATCCGGTCTCAGAATTGTGCTCTGAGAAAAACACACCCCAGGAAAAACCAAGCCAATAATTCGGGATATTTGGAAATAACGAAGAAGCGGAACAAAAAAATTAAAATCGCTTTCCGTAGGTCGATGCGCCTGGAAACAGGGCGTTTGCCGGTACTTTCGGATTTCGGAACAACCACCTGTGTGTAGAGAAAAGTGCACCTAAATGCCGGACTGAACTTCGGACAAATTGTGTTGGATGGACCATACGTGCGAGGACGTGCGGCGGCGAGTTTTTATAAATCACGTTCGTACGTGCACGAAACGCAACATTGGTGGGCAGTGGAACCGAGTGGAACAAAAAAAAAAAAAAATGTATTAAAGGTTTCACAGCAAGGTGTATGTGTACATAGTCCACAACATGTAACATACAGCAGCAGTAGGACACACGCACGGTGAGCAGCGGAATCAGCGTCGTCATGAATCCTAGACGACCACCCAGAGGACGACATCGTCGTGGAACATCGGCTTACATCAGGAGCACTCGTCAAGAGGGGACTCGGGAAAAAAGCCGGGTTCGGGAAATGCAGAGGAGGTGCGGTATCTTAGGGCCGTCCGACTTTTTGTCAAAATTTTTGAAAGTGTCAAAAAATGGAACCTGTATGTAGGCGTTTGTCCATTTTTTTCAAAAATATTTGGAACGAAGTTGGGCGCGAAAAGTTTGCTCCACTTCGTTCCAACTTTTTGACAACCCTCTCAAAGTATTTGGAGCACTTTCCAAAGTACCCTTGCAGAGGCACGCGAGGGCTGCTGCGTCTGCACCACGAGTGCCCCTCACCGTAGAAAGTCAGCTAGGGTTGTGTGTGAGTCATCTGTCGCTGTCGCTATTGCTATCGTCGCTGTTGCCAACGTTGACGATGCTGTCTGCTGTTGTTGCTGTGCCGTCCGAAAAACGGCGGTCCGCCATGATGGCTTGCAGTTGTTGCTTCGCGTCCGCCGCTTTGTTTTTTCCTTTTCCCGGGGGGGTAGGAGCAGTGGTTGCCACCCCTCGCCGGCGGCCTGCTCCACCCTCGCTCTGAGTGTTGGTGGCGGCAGCGCCTCCCGTGGTAACATGAGTGTTCCCCGAGATGCCAGGCAGCAGCACTATCTTGCTGGAGAGCAAGCCTCCACCGCCTACGGCGGCACCGAGAGAGCCCGTCTGCTGGAATTTCGCCGGGGTTTTGGTCTGCCGGCCACGCTGGGTGGTCGTGATATCCATGTCGGTGTCCATGATGTCGTGTTTTCCGCGGTTTGTGTTGTGTCGTGTGTGTTGTCTCGAAGTGAGCGCTACAACTCACGGACGGCGTCATTTTTTTTGACACAAGTTGCACAAGTCCACGTCACACGTTTAAAATGACTGCACACAGGTTCCAAGTTTTTGAAAGACAAATGTCGAAAATTCTGACAAAAAAGTCGGTCCGTTTAAAACGGCCGTTAGACGATTTACCAGACGACGTCCTCATTGTCGTGGAATACTGAGTACTTACTGAGTACTACCACATGTAATCTGATGAGAAGCTGCACGAACAGGATCGCGTCGCAGGCGAGGTCGCTGCTGTTCTTTCCGCTCTAGTCTAGTCTACATTATACACCACGGAGGTTCCATCATGCATGACCACTGTTACGGTTACATGGTTACGGTTGATAGGAGTTGCACCTTTGGGAGAATGCGTTGTTCCCAACAGGTACTAGCAGTGAGGTCCGGTTTGCCGGGCCCCGTCTTGAGGCTAGGATTGGGCTTAGGCCCATTATGCTTTTTTTTTTCTTATTTTATGCTCCTTTTTTTGGCGAAGCATATGCTGAAAAAAGTCAAATATGCCCACGGTAATGCGTTTTTTTTGCAAATATGCCCTGACCTATGCTATAGCTATGCTTTTTTTTTTTCTGGTGGTCATTTGCCTCAATTCGATACTTCATGCTCGCTATCCTGCTTGTTTTAGGTAGTTATGCCTCGCCCAATNTTTTTTTTCTTATTTTATGCTCCTTTTTTTGGCGAAGCATATGCTGAAAAAAGTCAAATATGCCCACGGTAATGCGTTTTTTTTGCAAATATGCCCTGACCTATGCTATAGCTATGCTTTTTTTTTTTCTGGTGGTCATTTGCCTCAATTCGATACTTCATGCTCGCTATCCTGCTTGTTTTAGGTAGTTATGCCTCGCCCAATCTTCTCTTCGAAGCCGGAGGTGTTCTGTTGTTGTCTTTTGCTGGGTACATTGGCTGAAATTGACTGTTTTTCCTCCAAAAAAATGGGCAAACGGCAAGAGCGGCCGTTAGCTTGCAATACACTATTAGACCTGTGAATGCTCTTCATC